CTAACCAACATGATATTATATTTGTTTGCATAATGAAGAGCCATGTCTGCTACTTTGCCACCAGTTACTATGACATTTGCACCGGTATCAGCAATCGCTTTGACTTGCACATCCATGAGATTTTCTTCTCCCTTACTAAAATTCATCAATTCTTCAGCAGTTTTTATCAATACTGTCCCCTGGCAAAACAAGCAGGTAAGCAAGTGCTCTTTAAAACAAGTTTAATATTCAGTTATTTTTACCAAAGAGATACTGTAAAACACTGGGAGAAATTATGAAGAACATTTTTTAAGCAAAATAGAAACTCTACATGAAATAGAAGCTCAATTTACTAATAAACCTTCAAAACCAAATACACATTATTGGAAAAGTTGGAGGATACTTAATGTTGGGCAGGTGTCTAGTAAGCTGTCTTCTGATGAAGATCAAGACATATCACTAAAACAATGTCATTCTCCAGCTTTGAAGTATGTGGATTCAATGACAAACTTCCTCTTCTCTAGGAAAATCTTAAAAACCCAACCACCCACATTTCAAGAATGCTATAGAAGTCACAGTAACCTCAAAATTTCAAACTTTTAATTTTTAAGACTTTTCACTTTCAAATTCCATTATCATATTTTGTTTCATAACGAGTATTTTTAAAAATAAAAATGCTTTTCATACAGAGTACACTATTCTGTAGCTCCTGTTCGACGGGGTTTTCATTATTGCTCAATCTAAAGTCAACCTGTGTATGTTCTACATACCTTAGTTTCCGTTATCATACCATCAAAGGGACAAGAGTAGACTGCTATTTTCGCATCTTTGACAGATGTTACATCACCTTCAGTTTCTTTCTTAAAAACCATGCCATGCAATACTGAAGAGGAATGAACACCAGAGCCCTAAGGAAAAAAGTCCCCAAATCATCAAAGATCTTACAAAAACACAGCAGGGCTAAGTTGTCAATTATGCACATGCTACAAACATTCTTTTCTAAAGTAAAATAATACACCAACAGAATGACTCCACAGAAAAATAACAGCATTTATATTCCACGCAAGGTTAGAATCACCAGGGGAATGAACCACTGTTACGAGAGGGGAGGCTCGCCCATCAGTACACTCAAAAGAACCCAAACCAGAAAACTGTTGTTCCTTCTTTCATCAAATACATACTTGATGACAGCACACTTAGTAAAACAGTAGTAGGTATATGTGTACTTAGCGATATCCCATGCACTTATGTAAGTCAAACCCAACAATACTGTCAAACTGGCCATGAGAACAAATATCCACTCTACTTTATCAAGCATACCATTTTAGGGAAAATATGCCCTAGCACAATGCTAATATTCAAGTGTGAGTTTTAATATAAAGCAACAGGACAACTTTTGTTGCTTTCCAAGTCAAGAGAGACAACAGAAATTTATATTTTGTTCATGCACTATTATCAACCTGAGAGCGATCATGGGAAAATGCATGATGTGATAACAACCTTTCAAATGTTAAAAGACAGTAGTGGATATTACTTCCTAGAAATACCAATATTATAAACTGATGCCCCTCAAAAGCAAATAGTCTTGAGTATCTAAAACATGAGATATCATGTAGCTGAGTCTTTTCCTAAGAAAAATGACTCATCTAGGTAACAGTACATATTTTCACAACTTACCAGAATTTTACAAACTCTGATGTTATCAACGTTGAAGTGGCCAGAATCAGGAAAAATAGATACTGTTAAGAAAATGGAACACATAAAAAGGGATTTTTTGGGGAAAAAAGCAGAAAGAGATATTTTACCTAGGCCTTTTCATTTACTTACCACATGCCTGGGCAATTAGCTTGGACAGAAACTCTTCATTACCATACTGTTTACTCATAATGGAAGTATGGAGAAGAGATGAAACTTCATTTACATCGTGAAGGTTTTTTGCAGAACAACATACCAAATCTGGAAGAATCTCATGGGCTTTTCTACAGGCTATTTCATAACCTGCTATGACTTCTGAAACTGACAGGCCAATTCTCAGAAGCTCTTCGGCTAATTCCAGAAGAGCACCAGCAAATACCAGAACAAAGTTTGTGCCATCTCCAACCTCTTGTTCTTGCATGTGAGAAGCCATTACAATCATTTTTGCAGCAGGATGTTGTACTTCTAGCTCTCTTAGAATAGTTGCTGCATCATTTGTTACAAACAATTTCTCCAGATGGTTAATAACCATTTTGTTCATTCCGTTTGGGCCATATGCTGTCCGAGTAGTTTGGGCAAGCTCCTTGCAAGCCTGAATGTTTCTGTATACAGCCTCTTCTAATCCTGAAAAATGTTTCGCTCCTTCCTTGAGCATCTGGGCAAAGCCCGGAGCTTTCGGGACGTGAAGCGCCATGGCCGGGCCTGAGAAAGCAGCTCACGCGCTCACGTTTCAAGATTCCGGGCCAGTAGTTCATTCTTTGGCCCACAACTTGCGTATCCATTTTTACCAGTTGATGAATTTGGGGAAAATTTCCACTTTTTAGCTATTGTACTATGAATATTCATGTAGACACATGATTACGTGGACTCATGACTTCCTCTCTAGGAATGAGATAGCCCAGTCATATGGTAGATATACGGTTAACTTTATAAGAAACAAACTGTTTTCAAAAATGGTGGTATCACTTTA